CACGAATTGATCTCTTTTTTTATTGGCTAGAGGCTTATAAGTGAATTTGGAATAACCCTCATTGAGAAAACGAAAGAGGTCGGTAATCAGTCGAATTGATTGGACCATATTCGACTCAATTCGATAATTTTATTCGCTTTCCATCTCTGCAGTAGATTACACCTTTCAGCTCGTCATTATCAACATGATCAGTCAAGCAGAACTACATAAACAAACGTAACTTAACGCGCACATGTGAATATATATGACAAACAACAACGACTAACTAGCAAAAAAAGAACATTATCGCATTTTGTTAGAATATTAACAGTAGAAATAAGGATATGAACGAAGAATATTTTCAATTGCCTCAGAAAAGTCCTCGTGAGTTGATCTCAGAATTTTAAAGTAAGAAATGAACTCTATAGCATATTTTTCTCTCAGTTCGACTGGCATCAATAGAAGTAGATGTTAATAGACGTGCCGGACAAATAGAAGTAGATGTTAATAGACATGCCGGACAAATAGAAGTAGATATTAATAGACCTGCCAGACATCGTCATCATCACCGATCTCACCATCAGAGTCCACGACCCAATGATGTAGCATCTGGTGCTGAGATGTTGACAAGAAATATTTATGTCCAAAACACTGGAGCTGCTATTCCCAGTGAATTATACCAGCAACAGCAGCCAAGCAATGTAACGTTTTTAGACCAAGGACAAATAGTACAACCTCAAATGATGACGAGACCAACGTTCGACCTGCAAGTTCATGTTCAACCTAGGTTTGTACTATTCATAGAAAGAACAAAAATAACTTTTTTTTGCCCTAGATTGCCACACTCAAACATAAAAGCACGAGCCATCATGATGTCGGACGATATCCTTGCTGCTGATGTTGCCAGCAAACGGAATTTTACTGGTGATCCTGCAATTGATGCGAAACAGGTCTGTTTCCTATTGAAAGAAAATATTTAAAATTCGTTTTTCAATAATAGCCTATCTATGGAGTAATCAGTTTTGAACAAACGTCACGGGGTGTCCACATCACAGGCCGTATTGATGGTTTAGGACAAGGGACTTTACACGGGTTTCATATTCACGAGTTCGGTGATGTTAGTTCGGTAAGGGTTGGCCTTTTTGTGTTGAGTTATATTTGAAGACAAAATAAATTTACCTGACAGGGTTGCACAACTACTGGCGCACATTTTAATCCGTTCAATCGTACTCATGGTGGTCTCAATGACGTTGAAAAGTCTGTAGTTTAGTTTGGCATTCGAATAACCAAAAGTGTTTTTTCTTTCTTCTTCTGCCAGACATCTAGGTGATTTGGGAAATGTAACAGCAGATGCTAATGGCGTAGTTCATCTCGACATACTCGATCCAATGATGTCTCTTTACGGTGACCATTCAATTGTTGGACGTGCTATTGTTATTCATGCGATGCCCGACGATCTAGGTCGTGGAGGGAATAAGGAATCATTGAAGACGGGAAATTCAGGCGCGAGACTCGCTTGTGGTATCATCGGATTTACAAAACCTTAAACAGCATGAACAATAGATGAACGATATTTTTTTCCTACAAACTTTTGTAACCAAGCATAATATCATATTCCTACATTAGTTAGATAAATAAATGATAATCAGGCTGCATATTTCCTTTTTCAATGTTTCACGAAATTTCGAAAGCATTAAGTTCTTATCAGCTTCATTAGAAGGTGAAGAGTAATTGCTAGAACAAGCTGAATAGATACTCTAACAGAAAAATGAGACAAATTGTTCTCATTGTCAATCAGAGTTGTGACACAATTAAAATAGCTGGCTGTTGCAAAAAAAATCAATAGCAAGAAATTATGTATATGGTCTTACTCACTGTTGTTAGTACAGCAATTATTCAGTTT